GAGGAGGGGAGGGGAAGTGTTCCGCACCAACGACCAAAAAAAATCATCCTGGGGTCTGACGGGACAGGGGGGGGGGGGGGGGCAAATCGCACCGCACTGCGGGGGAGAAGGATTCGCGCCCGGGGTCGCCGGGGACGGTATCGGGTCTCAAGTGCGACACTGTCGTCACTTTATTATCTTTCACCGCGCTCCCTTTCTCAACGGAAACGCTCCCATCTGTGAAACTGTCGTCACTTTTCAGCCCCCGCGACAAGCTTCGTAGAGGGTCCACGAAGGCTCCAGGAGGGCCCATGGTGGCACAAGTCGGACGACCACCACTTTTCATCTTCCGCTGGAGAGGCCGTAGCTGTCATGCGCGACGGCAGCAAGCACATCAGCCAAAAGGCATCGTCGGCCTCGTGTTGGGAATGAGCTTGGCAAAAGTGAAAGTCCGATCCACTGCAAATAGCGCGGCCAGCGTTGGCCTCGCATTCCCAAGTACGATGGGCGGCAGACTCCACGCGCGGCTGGCACCTGGGAGAATGAACCGTTGTCCACACCTCCATTGACGCCAGAACCACAGGAAAGAAATGCAGCTCTTCCCCAAAACAAATGCTCCGATGCGAAGTGAAAATCGCGAAAGAAATCCGCGCTACAATTCAAAGTCAAGGTGTCGGAATATCGTGACTCTGGGAATTGCCGCTCCATCCCATTCGGCATGATCCGAGCAATGGGCGCGCGGGAATCCCACTGCCGTTCCAAAAGGTACATGCGAACTGCGGACTTGGGCCCTCGAACGCGACAAGCCCTCCGCGCCGCCGATTGATCCCGAAGACGAGCGACGGCAAGAGTCCACGCTCGATAGACCTCCGCGCGATCGCTGGGAGACTGGAACCATTGTTTGACCCAAACTCGAGACTCTCGCGAGGAGACGTGACTCCAGGATCCGATCCAGGCGCCCTGATATCCAGCAACGTAGCCCTGCGGTGCCCGCGACCACCTGCACCGCGCACACCAGCCAGACCACGCCTGAATGTCCCCTACGGCCCTCCGAAAGCGCAGTGGATTTGATGCCCATAGCTCCCAGCCTCTGCCGCGCCAGTGCGCTCAGACTTGCTAGTAGCGCGATATGACCTGGATGCTCGAGCAAAGCGCCGAAGTTCAGCATGAACCCTGAAATGCTCGACTATTATCTTGCCTCGGGCCCGGCGCGCGCGACGCACCCCCACCCCCCTGATCGCGCCAGGGAGAGGAGCCTGCAGGACAGCTTCGACTAGAAGCCCCGGAAACGAAGACGACGCGAAATCTCCTCAGCACCCCCAGCATCTCCATGACCCAAGCAAACCACAAATGACCTAGACATGGCATTCAGTACCTACTTGGCCATTTCATTACATGCATGAGTTAGACACGCCGTCAGCTGCGCGCGGCGGGCGTCGCCAAGTCCAACCATGCGATGAGACAAGTCGTCGACCCAAATCCGATGGGCAAGCCTGACATGAGCACTTGACATTTTGGCAAGGATGGCGTGAGCAAGGCATTTCTCAAACCTCGCGCCCCTCCATCAGGCCTTGGATGATCGACCTCTGCGCTTGAAAGGGGTCGCAGACCGATCCAAGCTGCTCCAAGGCATGTGGGGCACGCACACTGCGGCACCTCCATGCACAGTTCTGATGGATAGCATCCCAAGCGTAGCGCTGCCTAAACGAGGAGCCCCCACTCGATGTAGTCATAGCACCTTCGAATGTCCAGCATGCCGCTGGCGGTCTAGTCGAGAGCAACTGCAACCTCAACGCCCAGAATGCGGAAGAAGGCCTCCCGGAGGGAGGTGCCGCCGAGGACGGCTGCATCCCACGCCTCCTCGGCAGCGCCAACCCGCGCCCCAGCCTGCCCCCCGCGAACAAGCGACCAAAGACGACCGAGCAGCGAGGTGGGGCCGATGATGCAGTCGCCCCCCACGTTCTTCGGTAAGGCTTTGACTATGCGGAGTTGTGTCTGACGCGGCCACGTGAGCATGGCCTCGAACTAGATGAAAATGCCGCCAGCTCCTCGTAGCCTTCAGCTGGTAGCCCCTCGATGTCTGCCCGAGTGAACTGACCCGCGCCGAGGCCAGTCGCGCTCTTCATCTCCCGCGCCGCCTCCTTCACCGCGTCGCCCGTGATAGGCTCCAAGGGCGTCTTTGGCTGCTGCGACAGCCTCCCGGCACGCTGCCTGGAGAATACCTGCATCGCATGGCCTTGGCCCCCAAACTTGGCCCCACCGACGACCTCTGATGTCCAGGATGTCCTTGGGATGGGCAGCCACCATGGCGCCAGCAATGATCTCCTGGCGAAATAAAAAATCGCCCCGCAAGGACCTGCGCACGCCGCCCAAGGAAGCCCGGTCAGAGATCCGCTCACGAAACTCGCGCAGAGACTCACGAAGGGCCCGCCGGCGCGCTCGCTGGTAGATACGATGGGCGCGCTGCTGGAAACAGTCCAGCACGCGCGGCGTACACTCACTGGCGTTGAGTAGCAGCCCAGCCCACTCACCTATGGAGGGCTCGCCAGGGCGCAGGATAGCCCCCACGCCGGCAGCAGGATCCTGCGCGAGGTGCCCGCAAGCAAGCGCGAGCTCCTGCTGACGCAGCCCGTTGCCCCTGCCGAGAAGGCGAACCAGCTGCAAAAATACTTGTGAAAACGGGCTTCCACCAAGCCGTAACCACGCCTCGAAGGGGCACGGACCTTTGGCGACCACAATGCCGAACCCTCACTGCAGCCTTCTGATCGACCCGGGCCCCCAGCTGCTGCGATCTGGTGGCGAGCGAGAGCGGCCTCTTCAACAGCGCGAACCCACTGCGCGCACCAAGTGCTGGCGGACCCCACACGCCGGGGATCGAGCCAAAAGGCTACGGTGGCAGAGAAGCGCGAAGGAGGTGGGCCTGCAGCGAGGCCTCTGTTTTGCTCGCGACACTCTTGCCAGAGCTGGGCTGATATACGAAACGGCGGCTCAACCTTCTTCTGGGGAACTTCCGAACTCGGAGGGGTCTCTACATGCGAGGTGCACCCTGTGGCTGGAGGGGGGCCCTGAAGGCTACCATTGGCCTGACTGTCCGCCAGCGGGGCGCCAACATAATGAGGCATGTAAGACGAACTGATGCTGACAATAAGCTTATCTTTTTGGTTTTCCCTCAGCGAAATGAAATTTCCCTCGTTGGCCCATGAAGTCGCCGAGCGATGGAAGGCGCAGCCGAAACAACGGGCGCGCCCCAGCCAGCGCGCGGGCGCCCCGCCGGACCGCGGGGCACTCACAGCGCGAGACGGGCCCGTCAGAGCGGACAGCGTGGGGATGGCAAGCAAGATCCCCTGCCCCCTTCTGCCAGGCCGGGAAACAACCGACGCCCAAACACCGGCAAGCAAACCAGACAGAACGGGCGAAGGCCAGGCCGCCGCCACCCCCCCGCCACCCCTCCAAGGGCCCACCACGACACGACGACGAACGACAGCGACGGCGACGGCGGAATGAGGGGGGAGACGAGCCCCTAGGCACACGACTCCCACGGGTGACACCTGGCTGAAAACCAAGCTTCCGCGGGAGGCTGCGTGGCCAGGGACCCCTGGGAAGGGGACCCCGCTTTGGGGGCCGTCCCAGCGCGGGGGCTAGCACCCCGAAGGCCCGACGGCCCCCACCTCCGCCAGGGGGCGCTTTGGCCCGACACCCCACTTATGGCGGTGCCCCTCAAGGACAAACGTTGGCACATGAGGAGGAGGAGGAGGAGGAGGAAGAGGAGGAGGAGGAGGAGGAGGAGGAGGAGGAGCAGCAGCAGCAGCAGCAGCAGGAGCAGGAGCAGGACCAGGAGCAGGAGCAGGAGCAGGAGCAGGAGCAGGAGCAGGAGAAAGAAGAAGAAGAAAGAAGGAGGAGGAGGAGGAGCAGGAGGAGGAGGAGGAGGGAAAGGGAAAGAAACAAAAATGGGCCGAGCACGAGGGAAGAACGAGGGAGGACGGCGGAAGAGCATGAACCATGGATTGGTCTGGGTCCGAGGACCCAGGTCCAGAAAAGAAGGCGGCGAGACATAGGATGCACGGGCTATCCGGAGCAAGCCGCGCGCACCAGCGGCCACACGGAAGGAAGAAGGATAGGAGAAGGAAGGATTGGACGTAGCGAGCAGGGAGGAGCAGGAGGAGGAGGAGAAGGAGACGCAAGGGGGTTCGGAAATGAAAGTAAAGAAAGGAGGGCGAAGGGAGGAGGGACATGAGGCATGAAACATAGAGGAGGAGGAGGCGGAGGAAGGAGGAGGAGGAGGAGGAGGAGGAGGAGGAGGGGAAGAGGGGGAGGAGGACGAGGAGGAGGAGAGGGGGAGAGGGAGGAGGGGAGGAGGAGGAGAGGAGGAGGAGGAGGAGGAGAAGGAGGAGGAGGAGGAGGACGACGACGACGACGACGACGACGATGGGAGAGGAGGAAAGGAGGACGACGGAGGATGGACGAGGAGGGGTTGCGAGGGTGGAGGGGGGAGGAGGAGGAGGAGGAGGAGGAGGAGGGAGGAGGAGGAGGAGGAGGAGGAGGAGGAGGAGGAGGAGGAGGAGGGGAGGAGGAGGAGGAGGAGGAGGAGGGGAGGGGGGAGAGGGGCAGAAGGAGGAGAGAAGGAGGAGGAGAAAGAGGGAGGGGGAAAGAGGAGGAGGAGGAAAGGAGAAGGAGAAGGAGAAAAAAGAGAGGAGGAGGAGGAGGAAGAACGAGGAGGAGCAGGGGGAGGAGGATGAGGAGAAAGAGGAGGAGTAAGAGGAGGAGGAGGAGGAGAACGAGGAGGAGGAGGAGAAAGAGGAGGAGGATGAGGAGGAGGAGGAGGAGGGGGAGAAAGAGGAGGAGGGAGGAGGAGGAGACAGGGAAGAGGCGGTGGATGCCGAGGAGCAGCAAGGAGAGCCGCGGTAGCCGCGGGGAGCGAGGCGGCGAGAGCCAGCGAGCCGAGCGAGAGGCGGCGAGGCGGCGAGCGAGCCAGCCAGCGAGCCAGCGAGGAGCGGCGGCCAGCGAGCCTTTGGGCCAGACGCCTCGCCGCCCGGCGGCGCGCCGCCCGCGGCGCCCGCGCCCTCCGGCGGCGCGGCCGCCGCCGCGGCGCTGCTACCGTTGGGCGCGGCCGCCGCGGCGGCCGCGGCGTCCTTGCCGCCCGCCGCGCCGCCGGCCGCGCCCGGGTCGACGGCGGGGGGCGCGAGCGCCGTCGCCGCCTCGCGGGGAGGCCGCACGGGCACCGCGCACGGGAGGAGGGATCGTCGTCGTCGTCGTCGTCGTCGTCGTCGTCGTCGTCGTCGTCGTCGTCGTCGTCGTCGTCGTCGTCGTCGTCGTCGTCGTCGTCGTCGTCGTCGTCGTCGTCGTCGTCGTGGGTGGAGGTAGAACGACGGCGGGCCCGCCAGCGGAGACCCGCGGAGGTAGACGTGGGACGCCAACATGTCGGGGTTCAGGGTTCCCAGACCCCCTCGCGCTTCGAAGAAAGCACGACGGGAGGTCTCTTGATTTTCGGCCTCTGGGGGCCCTGGCTGGGCCTCGGGACCGTCAACAAAAAAAACAGCTCGGGAGGAAGAACCGATCGCGGCTAAGGGAGTCCAGACCTCTTGGGGGCGACGTTGTGAAAAAATCGCGAAGTCGGGGTCTGGGGAGAGAGTGAGAAGAGAAGGCCTTATCAGAAGGCAGAGGACCCTTCTCAGAAGACCAAGCGACTTCCGAGCCTTCTAAGAAGGCCCGCTCCTTCTCACTTCCCACCTGGGCGCGCCGCCGAACGGTGACCAAGGCCGAAGCTGAACGTGGAAGCGTCGGTGCCGATCTTGGTCACCGTCCCCATCTTGGCACAGCTGCACCGTTCCTCCACTCCACAAGGAGTGTCGTTCCACCAGCCGCCTTGTCTGTTTTGCTTCCCCGCCTGCCTGCAAATCGTTTTCCCACGTACCGTACCACGTTTGCTCTCCCAGGGCCCCCCGTGGTGGTCAATTGTAAGTGGCAGAAGGAAGGCAAGTGGTAGAACGGACCCTCTACGTGGTGGAATGGGGAATTGCTCATCTAAACCACTGTCAACTCGTGAACCATCCTCGCAAATCGGCGACGGTCCGCACGGACCGTGACCACGATCGGCGTCGACAAGATCCCGCGACATCTCGGTCATGGTCATCGTGTTTATTCCCTCGAGCTCGGCGCTTGGATTGCTCTAGCCGGGCCTGCAGGGTAGGCCCCCATCTTCCCTCCTTCCGAGGGGTGGAACCGAGGAGCACGAGAGAGCGCAACCACCCGACAGACAACCTGGCGTCAGAGTGAAGGAAGCGCGGCAAAGTCGGCTTAGAGCATGGCGGATTCCAGGAACCCTGAACCCAAAAATGTTGCCAGCTCTTGGGGGCGCATGTCTTGCTTCCGCCACCTTCCGCGGGCGGAAGTGGCCTCGTTTTGCATCCGCCGACCTTCCGCCGCCCCTCCGCCGCCCCTCAACCACCTTCCGCCGAGAAGGAGATGGCATGGAGGCGGAGGAGGAGGAGGAGGAGGAGGAGGAGGAGGAGGAGGAGGAGGAGGAGGAGGAGGGGGAGGAGAAGGGAGGAGGGAGGAGGAGGGAGGAGGGGGAGGAGGAGGAGGAGGAGGAGGAGGAGGAGGAGGAGGAGAAGGAGGAAGGAGGAGGAGGAGGAGGGAGGGGAGGAGGAGGAAAGAGAGAGGGAGGAGGAGAGGAGGAGGAGGAGAAGGAGGAGGAGGAAGGAGGAAGGAGGAGGAGGAGGAGGAGGAGGACTCCTTCGACCCTCGAAGGCAAGGCCCTTTGTGGAGCGCCCCACCTGTGCCCCGATGCTTCCACGAGCGCACGCCCTCGCACGCACATCGGCCTCGGTGCGTGCCGAGCCCGCGGTGTCGGGCAAAATGCCGCTTTTGCGGAGACGGGACGCGACAGGACCAAACAAGCATACACACACACACACACACACACACAAGAAGCTGCACTATAGATGTGTGCATGTTCGTTCTTCCTGTGAAATTCTAAGGGACCCCCCCAGGATGGCCGTCACCTAATTTGCCTTCCCGATGTTCCCAGGGCCGCTCCGAGACGGCCTGAAGATGCGGTCAAAATACCCCGAAGAGAGCCCCACGAAGCCTACACCGGGCGCCCAAGACGGCAGAAGGCGGCATTTAAGGCACTTCCAAAACGTCCTCACAAAGGCCCGAGAAGGCCCCATGACGGCCCCAGAGCGCCACAAGAAAGCCCAACATGGCCTCAAGACGGCCGAAAATGTCCACTCGAAAGCATCCAATAGGGCCTGACGAGCCAAAAAACATAGCTGATCTTTAGGTTTGTCGGATTTTATGTGTGTCCCGCCTTTTCTGGCCAAGAACGGTACAAAACTGGCTTGCGAGCTTCCGAGGTTGCGCCAGGACGGGCCAAGAGACCCCCCAGAGGGCCTCCAGGCGGCCCTATAGGGCCCAAAGATGGCCCAATAGAGCCCGAAGAAAGCCAAGGAGAGCCCAAGACAGCCCCAAGAGACCCGTAACAGGGCCACAAGAGAGCCACGGGAAGCCCCAGAGAGGGCCAGGGGAGGCCGCAGGACAGCCCAAGAGTGCCCCAAAGCGGCCCCAAGACGGCCCAAGCTCCCACGACGGCCCACGAGGGCCCCAGGACAGCCCAAGAGGGCCCCCCGATGACCGGAAAAAAAAAACCCTAGAGGGGTTCCGATCGGTGCTACGGACGTCACATTCATTATCTCCTGATTCGCCTCAGAGGCCCCCCCATCGCCCCAAATTCTGCATAAACTCCCCCCAAGATGACCCACAAGGCCCTCAAGAGATTCCTTCTAGAGCCCAAAAGGGTTCTAAGATAACTCTCGACCTCACTTTCTCGGACGTCGGACAGCCCTGTTATCGTCACCCTCCACCTCCTCCTCCTCCTCCTCCTCCTCCTCCTCCTCTTCCTCCTCCTCCTCTTATTATAGTATAAGATTCGTATAAGTGATAATAATAATAATAATAATAAGAAGAAGAAGAAGAATAGAATTACTTAATATACTGATAATAATGAAACTAAAAATAAGAATAATAATAGTCGTAGTATTATTCATACTGATATTAATATGAATAGTATTATTAGTGCTATTGTTATTATTAGTGATATCAGTGTTGGAACTACGGTTATTCATCGTATTATCATTACTAGTCTGAAGGTTAGTATTATTATTATTCATGCTACGACTTGGAAATAAGAGTACTACTAGCAATACCAATAATATGATGATTGTTGCTCCTATTGGTACCATTATTAGTATTATTACTAATATTATTATTACCCTCATTCGTACTACCATTATGAATTTCACAAGTGTATTACTGCTATTCGTGTTCGTATCCGTCGTATTACCAATATTCTTAGTCTGTGGATTATGCTTGTTAGTCTTAGTCCAGTCTTCTTCTTAGTAGTATTACTCGCCGTCTTATCATTATTATATTATGTGCTGGTTCGCATTCATATTATTACTATTCCTCTTCTTCTTCTTCCTCCTCCTCCTCCACCGCCTCCTCCTCCTCCTCCGTTCCCCACTCTCTGCCTCCCCCTCCCCTTCCTCACCCTCCTTTTTCCCTCGTGCTCGTTGCCTTCCTCCTCCTCCATCGCCTTATCATCGTTTTCCTCCACCGTCTCCACGATACAGAACAGATACTCATTCTGGCTGGGGGCTTCCTCCTCCTCCTCTTCCTCCTCCTGCTCCTCTTCCTCCTCCACCTCCTCCTCCTCCTCCTCCTCCTCCTCCTCCTCCTCCTCCTCCTCCTCCTCCTCCTCCTCCTCCTCCTCCTTTTCTCCGCCCATCCAGCCACGCGCGCACAAGGAGAGCGTAAGACCGCTCGGGCCCGTTCAGTCTGACCGCGGCGTAGCCTCCTAGCACGACGTAGCAAAGCATAGCATGGCACAGGGATCCACCGCATAACATCACATAGCACCGCGTAACGTAGACACACATAAGATTTCAGGCCATTGTATGTATTCATTTCCTCACGCGAGATTGAGATCCTTTCCTTGGAGTCCTCCGTGCGCTTCGGTTCAAGACTTTCGCTGATGTCCGCCGCGCGCAAGCGGCTAGCCTCCCGCGGCCGTCCCTGCGCAGATACACTGCAGTGCACTCGCTGCGATCAGGACGTTCCACGTCTGGACGTCAGCATCCGTAAGCGCAACCGAGCTTCCCGCGCATGCCTCGCTTGCACCGCCGGTGCCCCGAAAGCTTCTGGGCTCGCCCGGCGCCGACCAGAAGTGCGTTGCATTCGCTGCGGACTTTCCTTGCCAAATGAGGCCTTCGCTGTCGACTGGGACAGTCGCATGACAGCGTGTGCCGCGAATGCAGCGCAATGGGCCGACCACCCCTTCAAGACGCTCCGTTCTCCGTCGGAGACATGAACCGAACTTGCCCGCATTGCTCAGCGCCCCTGTCCCTTACCGAAACGGCTGCGCTCTGCTGTAGCAGCGGCAAGTGGGCGGTCACATTCGATCAGTTCTTCTCCGCCCCAACGCCCGCCCTTTTGGAGATATTTCGCTCCACTTGGCCGGCTCGGGGCGCCAAGGGCCAGCTCGTACGCGATCCCACCGCGATCCGAGCACGCAGGCTGCCATATGCATCGGTGCCCCGCATCGGCAGAATCCCCGAGGCCTCGCAGCGCACCTCGGGACCGCCAGCTTCGGCGACATCGGGGCTGCTTTGGCCCACGGATGGCGGGGCTTCCGGACCTACCGCCAGACCGGTCTCTCCGACAAGCAGCTGGCCATCGGCCTGTCGGTCGCCTCTGCTGCATGCGCCGCCCGCCGCCCGTTCTCCCACTGGGAGGCGTCGGAGAGCGAGATAGCGAAGCAGATGCGGAGGTATTGCCGGGGCCGCGGCCAGGGACGTTTCTCGGCCAGGCAAGCGGCCGCTGACTTGACCCAGGTACCAGGGTGGGTTGGCCTCGGGCCCAGCTCCAGGCCAGCCACTTCCTACGCCAGCCCACGAGCCCACGCTGGCCATTATCTGGCCGAGGCCGCCGCCTTCAAGAAAACGAAGCACACCCCGCGCTTCATGGACTACAAAGAACAGACAGAAGTGCGAATATAGCACGCTCGTCTGCCGAATGGCCTTCCGCGCGGCCGCGGCCGCCGCGAGGTGCACGCCGACGCCCGCTTAGGACAGCCACGGCGCATGAATTTAGCCGCTCGGGGAGATGCGCGACGCCCGCGTTCGAAAAAAAATACGAG